AGAGTTTAACTTATCTTGAAAATCTGTGGAATCTGACATGCCAGATGCTTGCTTGAGTTTAGCATGTTTCTATATCAGAGCATAAATTTTCAGCACCAATAAAGCGCTAAATGTTTCTTATTAAAGTGAGTAGTGCAAAAAGGCTACGACTGATGATTTTATTACTTTTGGTTGTGAAAAGTTGTACTGAAGATATTTAAGCAATAAAGCTTTCTGAAATGACAGGCGCTGAAACATGTATATTACTACTAAGAATCTTATACCTGCACTAGTTATGTATTTGAAATTATTTTAATGATTGCTTTTTAAAAGTTGCCTTTGACATGCTTCTGTTATTATGGCAGGAGGTCAACAGACCTTCTCAAAAGCAATGCTAAAGCTGAGCAAGCAGTCGAAAACAAACCATGTCAGTACTCTGGAAATCAGCTAAAAGCATTCAACAAACTGAGAAGTGTTTATTCATGAAAAAACTAAACTTTGGATAAAAACGGTGTGAGTCTGTGGTATTTACGCTGGGGCTGTTCCATTTTCCCTCCTCTCCTCGGTGGGCAAGGTTGCAGTGAGGGCAAAGCAGGCCATGAAAGCCAGCAGCTTCCATGCTGCTCCCAAGACGTCTCAGTGGCTTTGGAGAACTGTCAAGTACGGTGGAGATTTTGATGGCAAGCAATAGGGGAGGTCTGCAGCTCCACTGGACTGAAGTTACTGACCTGTTTGGTGCAAGCAATGGACAGATGAAATAGCCAGGGTTTTAACAGGGAATTCTGGGAACTGAGATAGTGATAGGAGGCTTGCGAAACTCTCCACGTACCTTGAGTTGACCAGAAGTTGTTTCTTCTGCACATGCAGCAGAAACTGGAATGGGCTTTGTAAGAAATATTGAAAGTTTGTCAGGCAGAAAGGAAGAGGCACTGGATGATAACTTTGATTCTAGGGAGCCATGAAAAATGCTAGAAATGGTATCTACATGGGTAAACATTTTTCAGATTTTTTTATTATTAAATATATATATATATGCCAGGTGCAGTGACTCATACTTTTAATTCTAGCACTTTGGGAGGCCAAGGTAGGAGCATCACCTAAACCCCAGAGTTTGAGACCAGCTTGGGCAACATGGCAAGACCCCTGTCTCTACAAAAATAATTTAATAAGTAATTCAACATGGTGGCACTTGCCTGTAGCCTTGGGTCCTCAGGAGGTTGAGGCAGAAGGATCGATTGAGCCCAGGAAGTCGAGGCTGCAGTGAGCGGTGATTGTGCCACTGTATTCCAGCCTGGGTGACAGAGTGAGACCCTGTCTCATAGAAAACAAAATGGGAAAAAAAAAAAATGCAATGATGTAAAACATAATTATAGCGCCATATTTTAGCTTTTCTTTAGTGTCCCTTTAACCGTGGGAGCTACATTCCAAGATCCCCGGTGGATGCCTGAAACTATGGACAGTACCAAACTCTTTATGTACCATTTTTTCCCTGTGTATACGTATCTATGATAAAGCTTCATTCATAAATTAGGCACAGTGAGAGACTGCCGACAATAGTAAGAAAATAGAATAATTATAAAAACACACTGTAATAAAAGTTATATGAATATGGGGTCTCTCTGTGTGTCTCAGAATATCTTATTGTACTGTACCGTGGATAACTGACTCCATGAAAAGCAAAACCCTGGATAAGTGGTACTACTGTATACAACTATGTATACATATACCTGTGCCAGTAGCACAAAAGAGGAAGAAGGAAAGGAAATGGCACCAGGACAATTGAATATCCATATAAAAAAGAACTGAGGCCTTCACTGTGCATAAAAATAAACACAGAGAATTCTAGACATAAATATAAGAACAGAAACAAGAAAACATGTAAAAGAAAACACAGGAGAAATCTCCGTGCCCTTAATATAGCTAAAGAGTTCTTAGATGTGACACCGAAAGCATAAGCTGTAAAATGGATAAATTAAACTTAATTAAGCTGAAAAATTATATACTTTTCAAGATACACCATCATGAAAGTGAAAATATAAGCCACAGACTGACAGAAAATATTTATAAATGATACATCTAATAAGGATCTTATAACCATAATACATAGATAATTCTTAAAACTCAATAAGACAAATACTCTAATTAAAATACTGGCAAAATACTGGAGCAGACATTTTTATTAGTTGGGACCAATGGGTGTGTGTATAGAAAGAGATGTAGTGTAAGGAACTGGCACAAGCAATTATGGAGGCTGAGACCAATGGGTGTGTGTATAGAAAGAGATGTAGTGTAAGGAACTGGCACAAGCAATTCTGGAGGCTGAGAAGTCCCCAGATCTGCATTCAGCAAGCTGGAAACCTCAGAGAGCTGATGTGTATGTAGCTCCTGTCTGAGTACAAAGGCCTGAGAACCAGGAGAGCCAATGGTGTAAGTTACAGCCCACAAACTGGCAGGCTTGAGACCCAGGAAGTGCCAATATTTCAGCGTGAGTCTGAAAGCCGAAATGGACCTATGTTCTGGCTCGTGCAGTCAGTCAGGAGGAGATCACTCTTAACCTTTTTGTTTTTTTAATGGAGACCTTTATTTAATTGGATGAGGCCCAGTCATACCGGGAAGGCAATCTGCTTTACGCAGTCTACCGATTCAAATGTTATCTAATCTAGAAACGCTCTCTCAGAAACATTCAGAATAGTGCCAAAATACCTAGATACCACGTGGCACGGTCAAGTTGATACGTAAAACTAATCATCACAACATTCTACTGAATAAGAAATACATCTGGCTGATAATCACATGAAAAGGTACTGAACATCATTCCTCACTGTGGAAATGCATGTTCAGACCACGGTCATATACCACTACACATCCACTAGAATGGTTGTTGTGTAAGGGACTCAAAACCTCATGCGTTGCTGGTGGGAGCATGAAACGGCGGGACTACTCTGGCAAACAGTTGTTTCTTCAAACTTTAAATATAAGTTTACCACATGATCCACCAGCTCTACTCCTAGGAATATAACCAAGGGAAATAGAACATATGTCCATACAAAAATTTGTATGTGAATGTAGACAGAAACGTTTTTATGGGAGCTGTTAACTGGAAATAGTTCAGATGTCAATCAGCTGGTCAGTGGATTAACAGTGTGCCCTATATTTGGTGTAGGAATAGAGATATACTCGAATAAGCTCAATTTTAGAACACTTACATCACCCCCAAAAATGCTTATTTTGGGGTGATGTTCCATTCACTTATTCCATTCAATTTTAAAACATTTACATCTTCTGTTCTAAAATTGAGGTATTGTGATTACTGTAAAACTTTTTTTTTTGAGACAGAGTCTTGCTCTGTCACCCGCGCTTGAATGCAGTGGTGTGATCCTGACTTACTGCCACCCTGCTGCCCAGGTTCAAGCGATTCTCTTGCCTCACTTCCTCCACTAGCTGGGACTACAGGCACATGCTACCACACCCAGCTAATTTTTGTATTTTTAGTAGAGATGAGGTTTCCCCATGTTAGCGGGGCTGCTCGCCAATGCCTGGCCTCAAGTGATCTGCCTGCCTTGGCCTCCCAAAGTGCTGGGATTGCAGGTGTGAGCCACTATACCTGGCCAAAACTTTATAAATGTATTTAAAATTATTGACTCTTACTCTCATAGTGTGTGAATATTATAGGCTATAGGGTATACCTCAGTAAAGTTATAAAAACAGTATGTGTAAGCCAGGTGCAGTAGCTCATGCCTATAATTCCAGCACTTTGGGAAGCAGAGGCAGGAGGATTGCTTGAGCCAAGGAGTTTAAAACCAGCCTAGGCAACAAAACAAGACCCTGTCTATTAAACAAAACAAAAACTAAAACAAAAACAAACAAAAAAAACCCAAATACAATATGTCCATATAGAAAGAACAAATGACAAAGTAAACATGGTAAAATAATAATTGAATCTGAAGGGTATGAGATTTTTTATACTGTTCTTCCACTTTTTCTACAAGTGTGCGATACCAAAATTAAAAAATTACAAACGTTTTAATGGCACATAGTAGTGATCTCATTTCCTTTTGTGACATTGTGTAAAAATAAGTTAAAATTTTTTGTTTGTTTAAAAAAGCCCAGCCCTCAAGTGCAATTTTATCTCAGCTTTTTTATTTACTTCTTTGCTTTGTTGTTTGCTTTGAGCAGATTCTCTGGTTTTGATTTTTTTCATTAACTCATTTTTTCTGCAGCATAGTGGCTGGTCGGCCCGGTGCCCACGCAAAGCCTTCCTGCTGCACGTGCATATTGGGCCTATGCTAGAGAATGTTTATACCTGTAGAAGTGATATTTTGAGGGTATTCTGTTTCTCATCTGTGAGAAAAATAAATACATGCTAATAGAAGCAAAGCAAGTAAGCCTTGACGACAGCTGTTTTTCCTTTTTTTTTTGAGACAGAGTCTCATTCTGTCACCCAAGCTGGAGTTCAGTGGTGCCATCTTGACTCACTGCAACCTCTACCTGCCAGGTTCAAGCTCTTCTCCTGCCTCAGCCTCTCGAGTAGCTGGGATTACAGGCACCCGCCACCACACCCACCTCATTTTTGTATTTTAGTAGAGATGCGGTTTCACCATGTTAGCCAGGCTGGTCTCAAACTCCTAAGCTCAGGTGATCCACTCACCTTGGCCTCCCAAAAGTGCTGGGATTGCAGGCGTGAGCTACTGTGCCCAGCTGCTGTTTTTCCTTTTGACAGTATTTGTTTTTTTAAAGAGATGGGGTTTCACCATGTTGGCTAGGATGGTCTCGATCTCTTGACCTCGTGATCCGCCCTCCTCAGCCTCTCATAGTGCTGGGATTGCAGGCATGAGCTACCGCGCCCAGCTGCTGTTTTTCCTTCTGACAGTATTTCTTAAGTTAAAATGATCACACTTCACTCCTCTATATTGTTTCCCCCACTCCCAAAAAGAAGTTAAATGAACACATTTGTTGAAAGCATTAAGTAACAGTGAAGTGTGTGACTCTTGCTAATGTATATTTATGTGCTTCATTTGAAGGTCACTCTGTGAGACTGCTGGGTCAGAAGAAGGATAATGGAAAGCGGCTGGGGGGAGCACGACTGGATTTGCCAAAGATTAGGAAGAATCCACTGATAGAAATCATTTCCATCAATACCGGGTAAGTGACTCTCAAACTTGCTCATAAAATATTCAGTACATTTCATGAATTCATTTTTTTTTTTTTTGGACATGTGACATAGAAAAGTAGCTGAACATTTTCTTGGGAAAGAAAAATCACAAGATGTGCTTGAATACAGTTTCTCCTGAAATGTTTCCTGTATGTCAACTACACTTATATTTACAGCAGGGTTTTATAACTTTAATATTATTCTCATTTTTGGTAATAAACATGGATTTCATTTCCCAGCTATGCCCTTATTTAAAATCTTTGAAAAAAAAAAATAGCACTGTATTTTGTGGAATGGTTAAGATCATTTGTCATATTCAACTGTTTTTTTTCAGTAAAGGTATAGTAAATGTTGCCCAGGATACTAACCATGCTTTGATTATTAACTGTTTGAGATGCATATTTTAAAATGTTATTCTTCTGAGCTTTAAATGGAAAAGAAGCATCATGACTGAATATTAAGTACTCTTTTAATTTCCACACCTTGATTTAAAGACCTTGATTAGAACTCTTGGTATACTCATTTATACTTTGTTTCATATGCATGTGTTGAATTTTTGCATTGTTTAAATTATGAGTCCATCAGATTAAAGAAACATTTTCTGAAAAATTGATGACATGCAGGGCTTCAGTTTCCTCAATCACAGGGAGCGCTAATTACCTATATAACCACGTCTCATTCCCCACAGATTTAAGCTGCTCTGCCCCTTTCGACTTCATCCTCCCTCCCTCTTATTTGCGATAGTTTCCCTTCTGTTCTGTTCTTCCTTCACGCTACTTCTCATTGAGAACCGGTAAGCAGCTTCCTTGTCCACCATCTGCCGTTTCTCTGAGCCAGTGCCTTCACTTCCTCCTGAACGGTGGCAGGTGTGTTGTCATTAGCCCTCTTTTCTGTAGTCTCACCAGTTTCCGGTTTACCCTCCACACCGCTGTCAAAGAGTAGAGAAGGTTGACTGAAGTCATTTGGTTTTTCCCAAAAAGCCCCGTCGAATGGCATTCAGTGACTTGGTGAATTTGTCATGGACCAGTGTCTGGCATTCAGCATTGAAGATTCAAGAACCCAGACTTACCAAGCTCAGAAACTAGTGAGTAAAGCAGAATTGAGCAGTGAGGAGTGTAGTTGTCGCTTGGCGGGAGCACCTCACATATTCATTCTGTCTCCAGCCTGAGCCACATTGTAAACACAAGGCTGTTTGCTTTCCCCTGCCTCAGTTCTTCTTTCCCCTTCGTTCAAACATTGTAATACTTTCCCACAGCTCCTGATTATCCTATTTAAAATTGCAGACGTTCTACCATTCCATCTCTTTTTTTTCAGTTGCCTCATTTTCCTCCGTAACTTTAATTGGCATTGAAATATATAAATGGTCATTTATTTGTATTTTAATTGTCTCTCCTCACTGGCTTATATGCTCCATGGGGCAGGGCCTTTTTGATTGCGTTATTTACTACTCTGTCTCCAGTAAGTAGAAAATTATACACAGTAGAGATTTAATGCATACTTATTTATTGAATGAATGAATGATCGAGTTACATAATTTGACAGTTTAGTGGGACTATGCTAAATTATCGTCAAGGTACAGATTGCCTTCCAAATTGGACAATAATATTTGGAGTTTGCTGGCTAGTCATACTTTCTCCTGAAAAATGCTGGTTTTTTTGGTTCTTTCTTTGAGACTTGCTCTGTCACCCAGGTTGGAATGCAATGGCATGATCTCAGCTCACTGCAACCTCTGCCTCCTGGGTTCAAGCAGTCCTCTCTCCTGTCTCAGCCTCCCAAGTGGCTGGGATTACAGGTGCAGGCTGCCACACCTGGCTAATTTTTTTATTCTTCAGTAGGGACAGGTTTCACTGTGTTGCCCAGGGAAGTCTCGAACACCTGAGCTCAGCTGAAGCAGTCCACCAGTCTCAGACTCCCAAAGTGCTGGGATTACAGGCGTGAGCCACCACGCCTGGCTGAAAAATGCCCATTTTGTGTGTGTGTTTATGCGGGGCTTTTGGCTAGACACATTTCTTTAAAATGTTAGTATTTCAGGGTCTGTGATACACTGTTTGTTAGGTTAGGATCCGTTAGGTCTCTGCACGATAGTTTTCCGAGTATGTATTTGGCCTACCGAGTATCTGTTTTTAACTTGATTTGTCTAGTCCCTTTGTTCTTCATTTTTTCCCTTCCCACTCACACTCCTGTATTCAGTCTTCCTGAACGGTTTGAAATTCTCAAACTCCTGATTCTGATTGTCTTGACCGCAGGCCTCTCTGTAGGCTGAAGGGTTTTCCTGGCATGTCTGTCCTTCCCCATTCACCTCATGGGTGAACCTTCTGCACTCTGCTGTGTGCTTCCTTCTCGGGATGTCTGCTTGTTTCTCCCTCCACAACCAGGCTAAATCTATCCCTCCTTCTAAAGTATGTCCACAACATTCCCTGCATATGCTGCTTATGGCACTTCACACACTGTGTCATTTATATCTTCCACTACATTTTAAGCTCCTTGGGTGCTGAATGTGTTTCAGTCATCACTACATTATTATCTTCGAGTTCAGCGTTAGCACAAAGTGAGTACAGCTGTCCCGCCGTATCTGCGGGGATTAGTTCTGGGACCTCCTCAGACACAAAATCTATGCATACTCCAGTACCTCATATAAAATGGTACAGTATTTGCATATAACCCAGTGACTTTTTCCCATATACTATAAATCATCTCTAGATTACCAATAATACCTAATATAATATAAATGCTACATAAATAGTTGTTACACTGTATTTTAAACATTTGGTTTCTTTTAATTGTTGCATTATTTTTAAGTGTTTTTTTCTTCCCAATACTTTCAATTAATGATTGGTTCAGTCTTTAGATATTGCACACACACGGATACAGGTGATTGACCACACTCAATAAATACTTGTTTTGAAGTTATTAGTTTTTGTTGCTACACATTAATAAAAAATTTAAAAATATGTAAAAGTTTTTTTATGTTTACAATTTTAAATTTTAAAAAATTGCTTTAAAAATAACTAGCCTTTACGTAAAATTTTTAATCCATATTATTTGAATTTTCCCTCTCATGTATTTAATGTTTTCTTCAAATGGGACTACACTCTAAAAGATTGAGAGCTCACTGGATTTGCCAACACTCTTATTTTTTATTTTTTTGATTCAGAGTCTACTCTGTCGCCCTGGCTGGAGTGCAGTAGTGTGGTATGAGCTCACTGCTCGCCTCCCAGACTCAAGCAATTCCCCTGCCTCAGTTCTGAGTAGCTGGGACTACAGGCCCATGTCACCACGCCCGGCCAGTTTTTGTTTTTTGTTTGTATTTTAGTAGAGATGGGGTTTCACTGTGTTGTCAAGGCTGGTCTTGAACTCCCGAGCTCAGGCAGTCTGCCCACCTCGGCCTCCCCAAGTGCTAGGACTGCAGGTGTGAGCCACCGCGCCCGGCCTGGATTTGCTGTCATGCCCATCCTCTTGTGTTCCTCATATTAGAGCAGAGAGTTGATCCTCAGTAAATTAGCAGATAATGCTTTTGATATTAAGAAAATTCAATCCATACTGTCCCAGACTGAGAAATGAGTTTATAACCTTCTCAGACTGCTAATCGTCTTCCCGAATTGGTTGCCGTCTTACCACTTGCTCTCACTTGAAAGCATTCCCATGAGTATTTGTCTGAACTATCATTCTATAACGTGTTATCTTGCATTTCATTGTTTTCAATGCTAGTGGAGTTCATTGCTTTTTTTTCGCTTACTTTTAAATGTTTTAAAATGATTATACTCATAATTATTTTTCAGTAGAAAATGAGTCTTCTCACTAAAATCATAACACTTTTCAAAGTTTTATTGCTTCCAGATTAAATATGTAGATCTAACTTTCCATCAGTTTTCCATTTTTCATTTAGGAAAAGGGTCCCATTTGTAGCAACTTTTATTATATGTATTAGTAAATTACTGAAGTCACTATTAGAACCATTAAACTCTGCAAAATTGTTTTGCCTTGTTATATTTTTAACTTAAAATGTAAAAGTATGACTGAGTGCAGTGACTCATGCCTGTAATCCCAGCACTTTTGGAGGCTGAGGCAGGTGGATCACTTGAGGTCAGGAGTTCAAGACGATCCTGGCTAACATGGTGAAACCCCACCTCTTCTAAAACAAAAATTAGCTGGGTGTGGTAGTGCGCACCTGTAATCCCAGCTATTAGGGAGGCTGAGGTAGGAGAATTGCTTGAACCCAGGGGGCAGAAGTTGCACCGCTGCACTCCAGCCTGGGAGACAATGTGAGACTCTGTCTCAACCAGTAAGTCAATCAATCAATCAATATAAAGTGAAGTAAAGTAAAATAAAGAAGTACATCAGTTGCTTTAGACAAGGAAGAAATTGAAAATTTTAGATCATCTAAATTTTGGATGAGCACAGCAGGATAAGGTGTGTGTGGATATTTATGTAGAATTTTTAGAAAAGGCAACCAGATGTTGTGGTCCGTAGCACAGGGAGTCAACATGCGCATGAATGAAGGAAGCAAGCTTAGGTTAAAAAGCTCGGTTTTCGTCAGGTCCCTCGTTTGTGTGACTCCCTTATTCTTTCTAGCAGTGGGAATGCAGTGTGGAGACAGAGGGTAGAGGCCAGTGTAGGCAACACAAGCAGAAATTGGAAATTGGGACATAAAGGAAATCTGTGCTTTATTTTGCCTTCTCTGTCCCTGTGAAAGTCATCCTTTTTACAGTTCCTTGGCAAATTTTATCTTCCAAGGCCAAGAGTTAGATGCTACTCAGCAGTGCTTCCATAAATTATGTCATTTTAAAGATATTCCTATCAGATTATCCTTCGCTTGAAGGTTTGAAATCCTCCCTCAGGCTAAATACATCTTAGAAAATACCATCTGACCCTGTGATATTTTACTGATACTTTTCTTTTTAAAATTTATCTTGTCTTGTTATTTGCCGTCAGTCAGACATATGATGGTAACTGAAAACCTTTAAGGGGAGTCTGATTTTCTTTTTTTATT